TATTCCAACATTCATTTTTAAAATGTAATAATGGGCTTTAAATGGAGATGGGCTTATTAAACATGAAGGATTGCTTTTTACCCCAGCTAGATAATTCTAACAGAGCAGTCCCTTTCACACAGCCGTGGCTCATGGGGCTTTTGCTCCCTGTGGCCCCTCTATGGCTGAATGTAACCTGAACCCCACAGAAGTATCACCTACTCGGATGATGTCACTGTAAGTTCTGAGAACACCGAGTGGATGTCACCATGCAACTAGAAGCTGCAAGGGCCTCTGGCTGTCACTCATCAGAGAGCATTTGTAGGACCTCTAAGCTTGATCTGGGAACCCATGGCCTCATGTCACATGCCTACTACTGAGCTACACCCTAACCCAACATTTTTGTCTCTAGTGATCTTATTTAAGAACTGTCTTTACATAAAGTTAATAACATGAATGATTGTCACATTGGCTTCATTTTTTTAAGAAAGGGTTTCTCTGTGTAGTCCTGGCTGTCGTAGAACTCACTCTGTAGACCAGATTGGCCTCAAACTCAGAGATCCTCCTGCCTTTGCCTCACGAATGCTGGCAGTAAAGGTGTGAGCCACCACTACCCAGCATGCAAAACATGTTTTTAAAGAGTATTTGTCGTGGTACCCTTTCAGTACTTCTCTGTACTATTTAAGTAAAGAAGAGAGAAAAGTCTGCAGATGTGCCTAGCTTACCCTCTGTGGCACTGATCATGAGCAGAAGGTGGATTTGGGGGCAGATTTTGCTGTTGATGATTTAAACAGCTCACCATGGATAGACCCACAACATCAACAAAGGGCTCTGGGAGCTGCTGACTGGGGCTCACAGCCTTACTTCGGAATCAGGAAGAAATCTACACAACTGGCTTGGCTTCACTATTGAAACTGCCTTTTCTTCAGGCATGCATAATCAAAAGGAATCCCCCTCCAGCATTCTGCAACATAGTAGCACGAGGCCTCTCTCCCCTTTCAAAAGTGGAGCTACCAAGCTTTGTTTCTGAGCCTGATCAAAAGGAAACTCGATACACAACTCATGTGGCCGCCTGGCTCTCCTTCTGCTGAGCTAATCAAGAGCAGGACTCAGGTCTGTCACCTAGCCCACGCTCTGGTCATTCTTAATTAGAGTAACTATAGTCATCCATCCTAGTGCCCCATGAGAAGAGAAAAATGACCAGCTGAAGCTGGCTAGTGGACCAAGACACCTACTGGAAGAAGTGGATACCCCAGGACCAGCTGAGGTATCCAAAATATTCCAAATGACCGGCTAGTCCTAACTGGTACCAGTGCAAAGGCTCTACACCTGGGTTCAAATGAAATTGCTAATAAATTACAAGATATTTATTCAATCTGTGCCTTCAGAGAGGGTCAGAGGCATGATTTTAATATTTAAATTATCATTCCCAAACATTAAGTGCCTGTCCAACCAGAATGATGAAAACTATATAACTGATCCCCTTTTTTTCATTCTGACTTTGAGGGAGCTCATATCTAAGTTTAATATTCAATAATAGTGACTTTATTATTTTAAAAGACTACCGAGCCTAAAAGTGCATGTAATGTTTTGTCATATTTATGACATTATTGTAGGACTAACAGCAATTTTACAAATTGCAAATAAAACTGAAAAATAATCCGATCAAGGTAAATCAGGAGAATAAACCAGTCTGGGTACAGCTAAAGGGCCCTGGCTAGTTCTGCTTACGATGATCTAGAAATTTATAGAAAAATAACACAAGACATGTCTCCCTTCCTCCTTCTCTCCCTTTTTTATTTCCTGTTTTGGGGATTGAACTGGGGACCTTGGTGCAGTCTGTGCTCCACCACTGAGCTCTGTTCTCAGCCCTATAGACAGTAGATTTCATGTTGTCAACAGTATTTCCAGTCTTTCAAGTGTGTCAATCCTATGAGTCCTGAGGTACAAGACTTAAGCCTTAGTATTCAGAAGAGCTGGTCTTATTTTTTAAAGAAGGGAGTGAGGAAGAAGAGGGAGCGAGGAAGCAGGGGAGGAGGTGGAGGGAAGAAGGGAGGCAGGGAGGTTTGGAGGGAAAGAAACCTCTACTCAGCCTTTAATCCCAGCAGCGGCAGATGGATCCCTGTGAGTTCGAGGCCAGCCTGGTCTATAAGCTACACAGAGAAACCCTGCCTCAAAAACAAAACAAAACCAAAACCAGAAACCTCTGCCCATCTGTAATGTGAGATTCACTTACTTGGCTTAAGTAACACAGAGACACAGACCCACTTGGACAGGAAAAGGACATGCACAAGAGGGGGTTCTATACCAGTGACAAAACGTTTAAAAACGTGATGCTTAGTAGAAGCAGACACCCACAACTAATCACTGAACTGAACTGGAATCCAGATGCAGAGAGGGACGAGTGAAGAGCAAAGGGGTCCAGACCAGGCTGGTGAAACCCACAGAAACAGCTGACCTGAACATCGGGGAGCTCTTGCTCCCCAGACTGAAACTGGGAAACCAGCATAGGACTGATCTACACAGGAACATGGATTTCAGTGAGGAGACCTCAAAAATCTACGGGACCTCCTGTAGTAGTTCAGTACTTATCCCTAGCATAGGTGTGGACTTTGGGAGCCCATTCCACACAGAGGAATACTCCCTGAGCTAAGACACATGGGGGTGGACCTAGGCCCTAGCCCAAAGGATATGATAGACTCTGATGACACCCTATGGAAGGCCTCACCCTCCCTGGGGAGCAGAAAGGGTATGGGATAGGTAGGGTTTTAGTTGGGGGGGAGGGTGGTAAGGGAGGACAGGAGGGACAAGGGAACGAGATTGTCATGTAAAACAATCTTGTTTCTAATTCAAATAAAAAAATCTGCAAAAAAAAATTGTGATGCTTGAAGGAATAACAAAAGGGACAACAATTCAAGTGGGTTTCCAAATTTGGTGATTTTTCCTGATGGGGAATGTCCTGTATGCTGTAAATATATGCTTCTCTTATTGGTTGATGAATAAAACTGTTTTGGCCAATGGACAGGCAGGATTCAGCCAGGAGGGAAATCCAAACAGGGATAGAGAAAGATAATAAGTGGAGTCAGAGAAATGCCATGTAACTACTGAGAGAGCAAGAGATCTGTGCATCACCGGAAGCCAGGACCACATAGAGACACACAGATTAATAGAAATGGGTTAACAATACAGAGAGAGCTAGCCAATAGGAAGCCTGAGCCATCAGCCAAACAGCTTATCATTAATATAAGCCTCTTTGTGTTTATTTGGGACTAAACACTACGGGACCAGGCTGGAAAGAAACATTTTCCTTTCAATGAGAAAGCTTAACTACAGGAAAAAGCCCAAATTCAGAATCTTCAGGTGTCTCCCAGAGCCCATTCCCCATGTTAACACTAATTCTAGTGTCTTCCATGGTTGTCACATAACAGAGAGAAAGAAACATCTAGTTCTGACTTCTATAAAAACCGTGACTTCCCAAGTGAACTTCTAATATTCATATTTACGGCCATAGATAAATGCTCCTCTCAGACTCCATCTATCGGTTGGCTTCTCTTTGCACTGAGAGGTGGCCACTGCACAGGCTCAAGAGACCAAATAGCATTGACTTCTCAACCTTAAACAGGACAAGTTTCTTTCTGCCACTGCTATGGGAGTAGGGAATCGAAAGGCTGGCATACAAGCATGTGGGGGGGAGGGGCTTGGAGGTCCCACCCCTCGCTGCTGAACTATGGGCTACTGGTCACTGAGGGAAGGGGAGCCATTGCCTTGTCTACTCACTGAAGACTCCACCAGGCTTCAGTGAATAACTTCAAGCTAACAGTCACACCGAAGGCTCCAGTTAAACTCAGTGGGTTTAATAAAAAAGACAGGAATATGGAATAGGTGGACAGGTGTTGGTTGGGCTGTGAGGGAGGAAAGAGTGTGAAGGGACAGAGCAGTTGAGGGCATTGTATACACACATAAAATTGGTCGAAGAACTTTTTTTTATGTGACTTGTCACCATGAGTCATGACTGGAGTGAATGGGAGTGACCTTTCAGCCTCTCCCTGGTGGGATATGCCATTAGGCCCTCCAGCAAACTCCCTGGGGGCAGATAGGCTGGTCCACCTCCTTCCTGGGAGGAATGGTATTCTAAAGAAATTAAGACCTTGCACAGCAGTGGTGAGCTATGACGTTCTCTCTCAAGCCTATAGCATGCTTTGCTGAAACCACCGCCAAACTGGGGAAAAAAAAAAAAAACTAAGGAAAAATGGTCCTGGATTCCATGGGAACAACCCATGAGTCCACCTCTTCCCTTTTAGTCTCTCCAGCACACATGTTATACAAAACCCACATTGAAAGGGAGTGTGCCAGGGACTGGAGAGATGGCTCAGTGGTTAAGAGCACTGACTACTCTTTCAGAGGGCCTGGGGTTCAATTCCCAGCACCCACATGGCAGCTCACAACTGTCTGTAATTTTAGTTCCAGAGGACCTGACACCCATGGCAAAGCACCATTCATATAAAATAAACATTAATAAATTTTGCAGGGCATTGGTGGCTCATGCCTTTAATCCCAGCACTTGGGAGGCAGAGGCTGGTGGATCTCTGTGAGTTCAAGGCCAGCCTGATCTACAGAGTGAGTGCCAGGATAGCCTCCAAAGCCATACAGAGAAACCCTGTTTTGATAAACAGAAAGAAAGAAAGAAAGAAAGAAAGAAAGAAAGAAAGAGAGAGAAAGGGTCCCCTGGGGGAATCTCTTTTCAGTGCCACCTCACAATACTAAGTGACAGGTCAGGAGATATCAGAACAAAATATCAGAACAGGGCTGACCACAGCTGAGATATACTGACACTAACCTCAAAGCAAAAAAGAAAGCAGATGTACAGAGCCCCCTCCCCCCCTCCGTGTGACGCCAAGGAGGGGTTTGTAATCATGGATTATGCTCACACATAAAAGCAGACCTTAAGCCGGTTGGGAAAGGCTGTCACAACTGTTACCATGTACTATTTCAATGGATCCATAGAATCGGGCAGTACCTACCTGGGACAGGCCTAAATGGACAGAAGCCGTCTCAGATATATACATGATCTTGCCATCAGAGGCCACCACAAAAACAAAGCCATCCAGAGTCTGTAAAGAGAAAGTGTCAGGGTAAGAGAAGGCAGTTACACATCAGCAGGGACTCCAGCAGCTAGAAGACACTGGGCTGGAGGAGAAAGGCTGAGGGGTGTTGTTTTGTGGGGCACGGGGTCCTGGGGCCAAACTATATATGCATATTTGTTACATGAAAACTACAAGCACAGGGCCATAAGCACTGCAGCCAAAGCTGTTCACACTGCTCTATTTCCCAAGCCAGGCTCTCAAAGGCTCTCAAAGCACTTTTAAAACAATCTTACATCCACATTACAGAACCATGCAAAACATTAGAGAAGTCCTAACCCGCTCAGTTGGACAGTGTGGCTTTATTGTTTGGGCTTATTTTAGCACTCAGGACGAATCCGGCGTTCTATGGTTCTTCGGGGAACATCTACTGCTCTACAGACTACTTAATGTGGGAACTGGCAGTCTCTTATACTGGAGCACCAATGCTTTATACGCCACAGTTTTCTAGTTACCCCTAAGTACCGTTTGAATAATAAATTCTTAAAATTGCCATTTGCCAGGAAATAAAACAATATGTCCCATTATTCTACCAGACTGTGTCTACAGAATCAAGCATTTAGACTTTGAAAGAGATCAAATGACCTTTGCCAAAGTCAGGGAGGGAAAAAAAAGTATCAATTTCCGAAAAATGAAAACGACTCCAATGAAATTCTGATTTCAGTCTGAATTGACTAACCCTCCAGAAATAATGGAGATTGTAAAAAGTGATTCAGACAACAATGAAAGCAACCACTGCACCATCAAGAACAAAAAGACTAGATACTTTTTAAAAAGAAGAAACTATATTGTATTTACTCATTCATATTTTAAGATCAGAAAACCAATAAATGGGGGGCAATAAAGTTGGTTAAAAAGCTCCATACATCTCACAGTGTGCACCCATAAACATATCCCAGATTAATTTCTGGCTACAAATTCTATTTTTACAGAATGTAATTGAAAGCAGATTACTGTCGAGTTTCTTCAAAACACTTCTTAAAAGGGGTAGGGATGATACAGAGACTGAAGCAGAAACGAGACTTTAAGATAGCCCTGCATGCTGCCATCTAACCTTACTTTCATTACACTGAGGAAGAAGTCACTTGTTAACACTTTATTCCAGTTTAACCCATCTGCGTAGTATTTTCCTAGTGGAATCCGTGACATTCAGATATGAAAACCAAAAATCAGCTTCTAACGTTCTGATCTAGACGCTGGACTCCTAATTCATTTAAGAAATACCAAATGGATCTCTCACTGCATCTAAGGAAATGGGTGGACGTTTTAAAAGTTATGATTAAAAGTTGAAAGTTGCCAGCAGTAGCTTTAAAAAAAAAAAATCCTGTTCTCAAAGTGAAGTGTGGAGCATCACTCCTACAGGAATTGCCCACACCGAAGACGTGTAGCGTTTCTTCTAGGCAGCCAGCTCTTAGTTGTCACTGACATGAGTGTCACAGAATGAAGGGTTTGGAACACGCAAACAGCCGCTCCTGGCTGCAAGTGAGCTCCCAGCCACCGCGAGGGCACAGGGCTCCGGCAGCCTCCCGACTCTCCTGCCACTTGGTCTACTAAGGCTGCGTAAGCTGAAGGCTCCAAACCCCGCCCCCCCCCCCACCCCAGGGCAGGCAGTGATTAGGTACACCCAGGGTTTGGAGCTGGGAGTTCGCGTTGTTGTTTGCTCATCGCCGACTCTCCCGCCTCTAGGGCCTTCCGCGAACATTTTTTTTTTTTTTAAGAAAACAAAAAAATAGAAAAGGGAAATGTAAAATAGCCATCGGTGGACATTTTTCGGTGGCAGAGACAAATGACAGGAGTAGGGGAATGAATCGCGTCGTTGATGGGGTTCTGAGAACCGCATTTGTGATTGGGGGAGGGAGGCGGCGCTGTCCTCAGCTTCCCCAGCGGCTGGTGTGGAAGTGGCCGCCGGCGCCAGGGCTGCCCAGCCCCAACCGCGAGGCCGGGGCGCTTGCAAAGCCGAGGTAGCGATAAAGGGCTCAGGAGAACCTAGTGCCTGACCCCAAATCAAGCAAGAGCTCCAAGGCAGCTGGCCCTAGAGGACGCCCCCTCTCTGGATTATTGATGGGGGCCACAGAACTGGACCAATTCTTGTTGCGACCTCGCCTCAACTTTGAACACAGAATAAAACGGGGGGAAAGTGTTGGGGAGAGGGGTGCAGCGAAGGGGAAAAGTGGTTTGTTTTGTTTTATTTGTAAGAATCTGGCCTGGGGTTGGGGAGGGCAGAGGACGGGCAAGGAGAGTCAAAGATTCGCGTACTGCCTCGGCCTCAACTCCTGCGAAGCTAGAGGGCTGGGGCGCTGCGGTCAGAGCTTTGTCTCCAGGGCCCGGCCCAGGTCTGTCACTGAGCGAAGCACAAGTCCCAAGGACATGCCCACTCCGGGGCTTGCGTGAACAGACACTCCAGTGTTGCTGGCGGGGTGCAGGGTGTGGGTAGCGCTGGCCTGACTGCACTCCAAATAGAGGTACCCCGGGTCCCCTTGCCCGGCACCTCCCCACACCTGCCACCGCGCGACCCTGACGGTGAGGACGCTTGTCCCCATGGCTCTACCTGTAGCAAATGGGATCCCAGCTCTTTGGCCACGCTGTCCAGGGGCCCTGTTCTGCTCGGCTGTCCCCACGCGTCTCCTAGACCTGGGACAAGGGAATAAAGCAAACCATTTAACCGCGGCACCCACCGACGCCGGGGGCTCCAGGCCAGACACGTGGAACCCCCCGCAGCAGGGAGCCCCAGCTCCGACCTCCACCCGCAGCCCTCTTCCTGAGTCCTCGCAGACGCCCTGTGTGGGGGTTTAAAAGCCCAAAGCCTCACTTCTGGACGCGTGCCGCGTGCCGCGTCCTTTCATCCTAGCACTAGGGAGGGTCCCTGAGTTCGAGGCCAGGCTGGTCTAAGAGTGAGTTCAGGACAGCCTGAGCAACACAGTGAAACCCTGTCTCTAAAAACAAACAAAAGCAAAAAGCAAAACCACCCACCCGGGGAGGGGAGCAGGCAAACAGAAACAAAACCCCCAAAGTCGGAGAACAAACTCCCCCCTCCAGAGGTCCTGTCTCTCCCCTCCCTCCCCCTCCGGCTTCGCTCCGGGAGCCCACCGGACCCTCCGCTCCCGAGGGTCGCCCACGTGCTCATGGCTCCGAAATTGCCGTTTTATTTGAAATGCCACAAAGTAATCTAATCTGCTTTGAAATTGGCCATCCTCGGAGCCAAACGGGGGGTATCGATTTGGCCAGTAAATACTCCCCCGAGGTCCTGCGCACCCGCTCTCTTCCACCCCTACCCTGTGCAGCCCGCAAAGATCATCAGGTCGCGTGACCCTTGCTTGTCTTCTGGGCGCCCACGGCCTCTCCGGAACTCGATCCTTTTCGATCCCAGAGTTCCAGGCGCACTCGGGAGGCTTTTCAGGGCGCCTGTCTGTTCTCACACAATTAGGGATCACTCCTGCAGGGATCCCTTAAGATCTGAAGTTTCCTACCGTCTTCCATACACCCCAGAGTGCACCTGGGGAACGAGCAGGGCCCTTCCCAGTCTCCCCCATCCCCAGGTCCCTCCCTGCCCCAGCTAGCTGCTGTGACCAGCAGGGGTTTTCCTTTGCCCACACCGAAGGCAGGTGACAAGAGTCTCAGCGGGACCTGCAGCCTCCGCCCCACACCCGCAGCGTTCCCTCCTGGAACGTCTCTGCTAGGGTGAGCCTAGGGTCCAGCAGACGCGTCCTCTGGGGAACTGCAGGCTAGGCCAGTCTCCTCCCGCCCGCCCGCGCGCCTTTAGTGTCAGGGGCCACTTGATAAGGCTCGACACTCTGTGCAGGCAGTCATCCTGGCCAGCCCTGGGGGCTGCAAAACTCCTCCGAATGGTTCCCTAAGAGTCACCGGCGCCGACACATGGCCTCTGAGCCTCCAACCTAGGAAACAGAAAACGTCCCCTGAAGTCCATTATAGGCTCCCTGGAAATCAATGGGAAACTAAAGAAAGGGGTAACTCTAATTTCTGCTCCCATTCTGGTCTTCACAGAAAGAGCGGGTAATTTACACATATCTCCCAGGACCCGGAAAGATGCGACTCATTATCCCAGGCCCAATGAGCCTCGCCTATGAGCAAGGGTGGTTCTAAATCAGCTTCTCTCCAAACACCCACGATCCCCCAGCACCGTTTGCTTCAGGCTAGGCACTTTGTTTTGTGGGCAGGAAAGCTGGGGCACCGGACCTTTACCCCCGCTGGGTCAGCCTTGGAAAGAGCCAAGGTGTAAAATCCACGGAAGTTCACCGAGGACAGGGAATTTAGTAAGGATCTAGGAATCTAACTTCTGAACACGACAGATGTGTGCCAGCAACTGTCACCTCCCTGGCCTCTGGATCTTTCGTGAGTTCGGGTGGTGCTCTAGTCATAGAGCCATTCCTGACCCCTGACCCCCGCTGCTGCAGTGTTTCTGACTTCTCCCAGGGTCTTCCAGGACTATTTGGGAATAACCTTCAAATCAGACACCTTGGTCATCAGGCGTCCCGGAAAACTGTGGAAGGTCCCGTCTCTGCAACCAGCGGAAGCCTGGGCATAGGACTATTTTCGGTATAATTCAAATACCCGGATGTTTTTGTACATCACTATAATTTTCCTGTAACTTCTCAAAAATATGCCTCTTTCAAATCTGGCAGAGGTTGTCTGGGCTGCCTGGGACAATTCCTCCACTCACCTCCCCCCCCCAAGCCACCTCACCTCAGAGCATGAGTCTGCCAGCAGTTCCATTAGGAGCCGCTATGGGAGAGGTCTTTTCACTCAGCCTATAAAAGTATACTTTAGGCTGAACTTAGAGACAGAATAAAGTAAGGTTTGTCATGAGAAGAAGAGGCCCTGCTACTGGAAAATGCTACACACACACACACACACACACACACACACACACACACACACCTCAAAACTGAGGCACCAGGCAAATGGTCCTTATATAGACCCTACCAAGGAATTTATGTATTTATCTGAAGAGTGAGGGTGGAGTTGAAGATTGGGTTGGTTGCACCAGAGTTCATAGTTAGCAATGGTCAGTCACACTGGACCCTAAACCAGCGTCTTCCCTGGAGAGCCAGAAGCTCCATCTCACCTGCAGTTTCTCAGGCTTAAGACTCAACACTCATTAACCTTTAAGTCAAGCTGGGCGCCCCCAGATAGAAGGCCAGGTCATATGGGGAGACCCCAGAGAGAAACTGCTGAGAGCACTGGAGAGGGAGCCAAGCCCATGTGCCCATTTCTAGTGACTTTTCCTCTGCTATCCAGGCATCAATACTTGGTCCCATACTGCCTGCCCTTCAGTTTCAACATCAGCGGACCACTGACATCAAGAAGCTAAATATGCTCCGTCCTCTCTTGGGTCTTGTTTGGTTGGTCAACAGACAACTCATGAGCAATTATGGGGGTCTCAGCCAGGCTCTTGGGGGTTACCTGGCAAACAACAAACCACAAACACTGGATCACAGAACAAGAGATTTAGTACAAGAAGGGAAGTTAATTTCTCACTGGGCGGGCTAGCTGCCCACTTGCAACTCAGGTGCAGAGACACTGGGTTTTCAGATACCTTTGCATCAAGAAGCAGAGTTCTCCTGGCCAGGAAGGTGGGGCCTGGGTTCTGGTGAAAACAATGGGGTTCCACATCCACCCCTCATCCTGTCACCCCTCAACACTGAGGGTCTAGAAGTGGTGACACAGGCCCCTTTCACAGTGATCTTGTGAAATTTTACCTTTTTCTGTGGTTGCCAGCCTGCCCAGCCCCTGCCCTTTCACAAAGAAAGAAGAGAGTGTAAGACAGAGTTAGAGAGCCTCCTCTCCCCCAGAGATCTGGCCTCCTTTTTCCTCCCTCCATTGTTTAAGGTGGCACCTCCTGATCTTCAGGTTTCCTCGGGGTCTCTAACCTCAACTCAGAACAGCAGTGTCTCAGGGCTAAGTTAGGGAGCCCTACCGTAAGCTCTGGTGTTTGCGAGCAAGCCATCTCCACGTGCAGAGCTCCCTCCTCCCCCCTTCTAAGTCTCTCATCTCCCCTCCCCCAATTAGCACTATTGTAGAGAAGGGAGAGGACTGGCAACTTCAAGCCAGTCAAAATGGGTGGGGGGTGAGGAGCCAGAACCTTGACCTTCTTCGTCCAAGGGCACACAGATCTGCTACAGGAGTCCACTAACCCTGCAACCCCCGAATCTACCATATGGATATAAGCACAGCCCGAATTCTTGCTCTGCATCCGGCTGGGCATTCACTGGGGCCTCAGCCTATGCAGGTGTCTAGAGACTTGCTTGCTTCCCCTGGAGAGTCTACAGCTAGTATCTCTAATGCACCTCCTTTGTAGACAAGGAGATCCCAGCAAACTGTCTTGAGCTCACCAGCGCCCCTCCCTTAGAGTCCTTCTGCTTTCTCCCGGGTACCTGAAAAAGCCTCTCCTGGCACCCCCATTTCAAATCAGGCGGCCAAGGTGGACTGTGTAATAATGGGTATAACTGTGGAGGGCAGGTAGGGATGACTGAAGGCGGTCACCTGCCAGCCTGTGGGACAAGGAAGGGGTTGGCTTCAAGCTTTGGGCACCCCACCACAGGCTGGAGTGTGTACACCAAGACTAAGACCCCTGGGATAGCAACCTCCCAGGCTGAATGAATGCTTAGCCCTGTTAAGTGTAGGATACAGCTCCATTGGCCACACCCGGGAGAAAGCAACCTGGCAGAGCCAGGCACCCATGCCCTTGGGAGAAGCTGTGTTCCCACCAGAAGCTTCTTAGTCTGCAGCACCCCAGTGCTTGGTTCCTTCTCCAAAGCCAAGGGCTGCACCGGGGACAGAGACTGCACCAACCCTGAGTGTCAGACTCCAACGTGGAGATAGGGAGAAGGTTGTAAAGACAACAGTAAAACCCCCCCACATTACTCTTAAATGTTAGTCTTTAAAAAAAAAAACACAGAACATGTTTTTGGACTTAGGTAGCAAAAGGGCTCTGAGTTCTATAACTCCATATAGGCAAGAGTGTCCTCACCAAAGTCTCAAAATCAAATCATTTTGATCCAAGGAAGCATGACCCAAGTCAGTCCAATCCCTGCTGGATATTCTGATGGAGAGGTGAGGGGCTGTGTGCAACTGAATTTAAACCCCCAAGAATCCAGTTGCTGGCATAATTCAGGCCTTTGAACACCCTCTGTCTCTGTCTCTCTCTGTTTCTTTCTCTGTCTCTCTGTCTCTCTGTCTCTCTGTCTCTCTGTCTCTCTCTCTCTCTCTCGCTCTCTCTCTCTCTCTCTGTGTGTGTGTGTGTGTGTGTGTGTGTGTTGCTTTCTCTTAAATACATTGTGATAAGATGCCCATGTCTTCTCCCCTTCCATAACGAAAGAGTGGCAGGAGAGGAGATTCCATTCCTGAGCCTAGCCTTGAGCCAGTCTCTCCTGCCAGGAATAATGTGTTGGATCCAGAGGAACACCCTTACCCACTAACAGGAAGCCCAACCTGGTCTCTCTTAGAAGACATGGACTGGTGGAATCCACAGCTGTGGTGGCTCTGGGTCTGGCTGGTAGAAACCAGCCACCCACTGTAGGGTCTGCCCCCCCCCAGGCTGGGCCCCTTACTCAGTTCAGGCCATGCTGCTCCCAACCACTCACTAAGATGTGCCCCCCTCTTCCCTATTTCTAGTCCTTTTTCCAAACCTAGCTTTGCTGAGCTGCCTCAGCAAAGCTTAGCTTAGCATGGGAACACAAAGGTAGAAACTGAGGAGTTGCCCTGCCTCCTTGTCACTCAAGTGTCTCTGGGCACAGCCAGGGTGGAGTACACAGTGGGCCCGGTTTACGGTTTAGACAATGTGGCCGATGCAAAAGCTGCCGCTCTTCTCAGTTTGCTGCTGATCCTTCCAGGCTTCTCTTTCTTGGGGTCTCTGCACTGCTGGAGCACAGACGCGCCCCCCTCCCCCGTCACCAACATTAGCTATACTGTTGGCCTGTCCCTCTTTGGCCTCACTTTCTCCAGCTAGGAAGGGATCCTCTGGGGCATTACCCCTTTGATGTTCTAGATTCTTCTTCACCCATCGCTCAGAGCAAAACTGTATTCCTCAAATGGCTTCTTGCTTAGAATCTTTTGTGTGGGAGAACTGATCTAAAGACCTCTTTATTGCCCAGGACTGCTCCCACCAAGCCTCCTGAGAGAAACAGTCTTGATTGACATCAATGCAGGCAGCAGTTCTTAGCAGACCCAGGTTCCCCCAAAACAGGTTAAATCAATTATTACAGGGATAACCGCCTTGGG